AATCGGAATCTAACGTTAATCGAGATACGGTTTTCAGAATTCATTTCAAATTAATTCATAATATTGACGAGGAATGTGATTTGTAATAAAAAATATCCTACTCTTCTCACCGTAGGTAAAATTATTTAATTATGTTTTGTAATAGAATGAACATTACAGTTGTTAGTGGGTGATCAAACGTTTTTTAGCAGTTTTAAAATATTACAAATTCATACAAAATGGAATTACTTGTTTCAACTTATTTTTGATTAGTTGAAAAAAGAAATTCTCATTGTTGTTACAGAAAATAGTGTTTTACGAGAAGTGTAAGGTTTTAAAAGCTATAGTTCTGCCGTTAAAATCGTTGCCACGTCGGGGAAAAGTTGCTTTCAGTTATTATTGTGTACATCTTATAATATACTCGAGTGTAAGTTGATTTTTTTTTAGAATTGGTTATTTGTTTACTCCTTATGATATTTTCAGCTAGTATTTATTTCTTGTCTAATAATTAAAAATGTTTGGTGCTTGTACATTTACTTCACGAAATATATTAAAAAATGGCATTTTACGACACATATAAGTACATATTGCAAATTACGACGCAAATGATTGCGTCATCACACTTTCAGCCAATCGTAGTGATGAGATAATCATGGGGAGGTAAAGATAAACCGAACAGCCGTCCATCGTTTTCTCATGACGTCAAATACCCGACTCTTCACAAGAAAGTGGTTTTACAAAGTTTGATTTCCTTAGAAATGTATAATGCTGTTATAAAGAACAGCGTATGCCACTTGTTTATAATGTTGCTATATTTCATTCGTAAAAAAATGAAAACTCGTTCTTAACGGCGCTCGTTTTCAAAATGTGTACTCATGCAACACAGCTTAGCATTATAAAACACTTGTATAAACTACTATTAAGTATTAAAACGTATTTATTGTAAGATGTAATTCTTATCTCTTTTAGGAAGTGATTATTATTTTTAAAAGAAGTTTTAGAGAAATTCTTTTATATTATCCGACAAAAATAGTTTTTTGGTCTGCGTGCCGTTGATATGAGTTGAAATTGACTATAATTTGAAATGAGCATTCCTCAATTTTCTGCTGTTTCCTCACATTCCTTTACTTTCTCTATTCTCGTCTTTATATTTAGGTCAAGAACGATATTTACAGAGAAAAGATGCTTGAGTTTGTTGCTTTCTAACAGTTCCGCAATACAATTTCTGCCATGTTTCAAGTCTGTGGCGTTTTTGGTGGCGTCACAATACCGTGCGGACGTACCATGTAAAAATGACTGCAAATGATTTCAATGACTATAATATTAAAACACATCTATGGTCCCTTAGAATGAAATTTCCTATATCAATCCATCATTATCAAATTGCAATTGAATGCTCATTTTGCACACTACAATGAACATTACCGTACAAAATTTCAAAGCTCTTTTCCTTGATGAAGTTTCAGTTCCAAATAAAGTGCATTAGTCATTGCAGGAAAAATTAATCTCACACATAACATAATTATTTGTGTAACCTACTCTATTAAGAAATTTTGAAAGAGAAGTCGTTACAAAGACTTGCAACTTAGTTAGTAAATGAAACAAAATTGCAAAATGACCCCTTATAAACTATACGCATATCTCGTGTTATACGACACTATTTTTCATACTATAAGGATTCTCCTCAATTATTTTTCACACTTAAATTACTCACAGTTCTTGCGTTTTAGCACAATATTTTAATTATTTTTTCATCCTTTAGATCAATAATTGGACATAGAAAGATCGTGAGTCAAATTCAGGTTTGATGTTAATAAAGCAATGCATGAAAAGTGACAAAAACGTGAATTTAATTTAAGGCAATGAAATAGTAAAATATTACTAAAAAATTGCAAAAATATTGATTTTAGTTTTACTTATTTTTTTGTTTATTTATTTATTTATTTATTTATTTATTTCTTTATTTCTTTATTTCTTTATTTCTTTATTTCTTTATTTCTTTATTTCTTTATTTCTTTA